AGAGGGACTATAAATTACATATTAACTATGTAATTTGGCTAGATCCTCTCTGGAGAGGAAAAAACCAATTCCAAGAATAGTCCCCTTAAAATCTTCAGAATGCTTGACATCTAAATCTGTATCTTGACTTTATTTGTATGAGCATCTCAGCATTATTCATTGTCCCATATCAGAAATAACATTATTGTCCTAGTAGAAACAATTCCATAATAAGTCAGTATGTGCTCCTGTGCTGTTAAACTTTTTTGTGTTAAGACATTTCGTCCTAAAAAATTATTCCCTGGGCAATATGGAGGAGAGAATAACTCAGAAGTTTAAAGCAGGCAAGTTTATATATGATAATAAACCCACTGTGTGTCTAGTTTGGTCTGATTTAAAAAAACAATTAGAAAAAAGTCTTTGAGAAAAGACTTCTGTTCAAACACTTAAATACAGTTTCCTCTTTTTACTGTTCACTCAATTGGTGACACTGTTCGGCGGGGGGGCAGGGATTCACTTCTGTACATCCTTTTGTGTTCTTGAGTCCTGTAATTGCTGAATAAAATCTTGAAGCCTTTTAAAGCTGACTCTAAATTTAAAACCAAATGAAGCTAAATCACTTTTAAGCTTGCTGCAACTGTATTAATACCTTTAATGCAGTAGCTGCATAAGTCAATTACTTTAATATTAATAGTTGAAAACACAGAATACACAAATTAGGAGTCTATTAACATCTTTGTTTTTAACACTGGAAATAAATCCTACAGTGGTCTACAGAAAGTTAAGTCTATTCTGTCCTTTTTAGGATATAAAGATTGTGTTTCTAAGTTTGAGAAAACAAAAGTCTACATGTTTTCATTCTATGTCTGGTATGAATCACTAATGTTTACTGCACTTAAATCAATTAAACAGAGATTGATTTTTATTGCTGTCTTATTTTCTGTTCTGCCTTTGCCTTCTTTGTATTTTGCTTTGGATGTTTTATGTCTTTTCTCTGTGGATTTTTTGTGTTCTTTTCTCTGTGTTCTTTTTTGATTATTTGTTTTTGTGTATTATGTAAAATGCAATAAATCTCCCGAACAGCAGCAAACAATCTGTTGTATACGTGGTTTAGGGCAGGGAAATAGAGACTGCTGCCTGTTTATTTTGAGCAGCAGACAATTTTTGGTGCTTTTAGTACCTTAAGTTGCTCTTAGAAATTGTTTTCCTTTATCTGTCAGTCAGAAAACAATTCAAAGGCTTAACCCATCCATAAGTAGCAACCTAAGGGGTTTTTTTTGTGAATTTAGTGAGAACTATATCTTGTCAGAAGTGCTTATAAGAGTTACTGAGAAACACTGAATGGCTTATAACAGGTATGAGAAATAAATAACAGGAAATTAAAATGCAGCTTTTGGGAGGCTTATCACACTCTTTTGTGTTGGCACATCTGAGGCCTAACAGAATCTCTAACTTGAAACTGTAGTTTCGATCAATTACTGTAGCACGCTGTACAGTTTGGGCAATTGTGGTAGTATGGTGCTGTCAGGGTACATAACTTTCAGGCAAATCTTTCTCTTAGAAAAAAAAAGATTTCACATAGATTAGAGGCTAAACACAGTGGGAGGCTTTTCTTACTTTTAACAGGTGGAATAGTTGACATAGCATTACAGGGAACCTGAGGAAGCAGACTGAAAGCAATGTTTGTTTTCTCTGGTGAAAAGTCGTGCTGTAATTGTGTTTCAGACTTACATACTCTATTTTTTGAACATACATTTGTACAGCATAAGCAGACTCACAGAAATAATTAAATACTTAATGTAGATTGTTTCCTGAAATATCAAAGCATAATAACAGTTAAAGATTTGAATTGGATTGTGTAGCATTCTGTTGAAGAAACTCAGAAGAAAGGCAAAGACTGAGCACTAGAGGGTAACTAAGGTGGTATCTCAGTTGGTGTTACTTGTGGAGTGGAGAGAAGGGGATCCTGAAAGCAAACAGACTTGAGAAGAAGTAAGAGGCTAAATAAAGAATGAAAAGTAATAAACTCAACTTCACTTCTTACAGAAAAGAGATTCTGAGGTAATGTGCATGGTTAAATCAATACGATGATTCAATTTGTCAGTCAGTGATGACAGATTAATTTTATAAGCGGATCCCTGTTACTTAGCTAGAATAGTGATTACCACCTTTATGCTTGGCTAGTCCATTCTCTTATTTTTTGGTAAGGGAAGGCAGTGATGTTGTTACACCCTCACCATGGTTTCATTAGACTCTGTGTATGCAGTAAGTCTGTTTCTGTGGATGAGTGAGATCACATTGACTTGTGCTTGTAAAGTGAGTCTCGGTGCTTCTTGGGGAGAAGGAACAGTGGGCTTCCTGGGAGTCAGAATTTGTACAGCCTGCTTTCTTTGCCCATTGGCAAACTCAGGAGTGTCATGGGTGAATTGTTTTGGAGGTAGAAGCCCTTCCTGGTTTTCCAGCTTTTGTAGGAGCTGCTTGAGGAGTATTTGTACCTACTGTAATGTGTGTGCTTGAACATGTTAAACTGAGACTGAGACACAGGCAGAAGAAAAATGGTGCTGAAGATAACAGTTTCTGATCCATGTTTCAGTCTTTTTGTGCGATTGGGAGAAAAATGGGAAGACTACACTACTAACATGTGTTGAATTAGGTTGATGATCCCTGTGGGTCTGTTATTGTGGAAGAACTGGCTTGGAAATTCTGACACCCCCCCC